CCTCCCCTATACGAAGACCATCCCTTCGGCGAAGAAGCCCACAGACGCGGCAAAGGACGAGCGCGTGCTGTGCGATATGAGACGTAGTATGGTACACTCTATTTAACCTGACGCCTAACCGCTACAGTATGCGCTGCGACTCGTCCTTTGCCGCGCTATGGGCTTCTTCGGAGAAGGGATTTTCTTGTATAGCTGAAGCTTTGCTGTCGACTTTGCAAAGCTTAAACTCCACTAAAAGAGGGTTATGGACAACTTTCATAAGGTCAGCGGCTGGCCATGTTCTTCCGTATCAGGTGGAACTGTTACAGTGGAAAAGCAATCTTAACATTACGTCAAAATTCACCAAAAACTCCAAGACATGGGTCCAGCATTCCTCATTATAAAGGGACGGACACATCCCTGAAAGGTGTCTTGGACGCACATCGCCAACCCTGCACAAGTTGGACCAGCTGGCTACGGAGTGATGCTGCGAACATCTTACTCAGTAGACCTTCTGGTCTATCTACTGTCACATTTCTGACGATCTCGATAGCTTCCTTGAAGAGAAATGCATCAAAACCCAACATGATGCTAAAACGACCTTCCCTCAGTTCATCGCCTCCAGAGCTCCAGCATTCCTGAACAAACGTACCCACTGAACGGTTTCTTATAGCGAAAGTTCGCGCATTCAAACGGTTTTTTAATCAACTTGAAAGGTTTGGTTTAAGCCGAGATACATGCATTTGAAATTCGAGGTCGAAAATGACAGACTTTTTGAAAGACCTAATAGTACTTCGAAGGGATCACAAAAAATACCTGGAGATTCTTCATTGTAGTGCCTGTTCTGCTGAAATCAGTATTTATTTAGGCAGACCAAAAATAGATGAATTCTATATCCAGGATTTTTGAAAAGCATACCTTGGGCGTCGGCTTTCTCCATCAAGGACAAAGGCTTTGGCCCGGTGTGTGAATTTACCTTTATCACTGAAAAGTTTGGATTAAACTAAGCATAGCGTCTCACAGATAATCGTCCATATGCTCACCTTGTTCTGTTGGTCCTCTTTCTGACCGACTTTTTCTTGAACATATCCACTGAAATATTCATTAACACATTGCAGCCCGCTTGCATTGCTGGGTATTCACATCGGTTTTAAGCCCTTCCTCAACCTTTTTTTCATTCACTTATGTGATTATAAAACTCCACTAGTGCCTTGAATCCACTAAACACATGGCTGCTCTCCATCTTCAATTCAATAAACTTTTGGAACTTCAACTTGCACAACCAGTGCCTCAGTTTGAACCCTCAAAACTGTTTAACAATAAACTCCAATGGCTATAATTACTGAATTATTTTCTGATGAGAGCCA